CGTTACGTTACGTACGTACGTACGTTACGTACGTACGTTACGTACGTTACGTTACGTAACGTTACGTACGTTAACGTAACGTTACGTACGTACGTACGTTAACGTAACGTTACGTAACGTTACGTACGTACGTACGTACGTACGTACGTACGTAGTAGTGTGTGTGTGTGTGTGTGTGTGTGTGTGTGTGTGTGTGTGTGTGTGTGTGTGTGTGTGTGTGTGTGTGTGTGTGTGTGTGTGTGTGTGTGTGTGTGTGTGAGTTGAATGCGAGGCCTTGTCTTTCCAACGGTTGCTCGCTCACACACATCCTCTCTGCTTCCTTCTTCCTTCACTATCTTCTCTGACTGTTACAAAACACACACACAGACACAGCCAACAGACATTTTGAAAGAGTGAAACAGCCTCTGTGTGAACATTTCACAAACCCTCTTATTGTGAAAATAAGAAACATGAAATTACATTTTATATGAATGGAATAATATAATTGTACAGATATTTATATGACTATCAATTTCTTATTATTATCAATTTTTTACTTATTATTATTCGTTTTAGTCCTACAGAACTTGGGATTTGACAACATTACTTTGGAACTGTTAGTCACTTTTATATCCTAAATAATGAAGAACAGAGCTAGTTGCAGCAGTATTGACCCTGGAGCTTGTTAGTGACTGCACCGCTCTTATTTACTGCGCTTTGACACTGATGAATGTCAGAAAGCTCATATATTAGTGTTTGTGAGGTTGTATAAGTGCTTTGTGGCTGCACACTGAGAGTCAGCATCATCTCTTGTAAAATCAGCAGAGGCAGACCTGTGGAGTTTCCTCTGCTTCTCTTTGCCGTCTCCTGATAACGCTGAGCTGCTGTCTCTGTGTGCAGGTGCAGCGTCCAGATAACCAGAATCTGCACAGGCGCACACCACGGCCCAACAATGTGCACAAGTGGAGAGTGGCATGCAACACGATGGGTTCAAACGTAACGAGAGGCGTAAATTAAAGAAAAAAGGACTCAGGAGAACAGAAAAACCGCTCCGGAGCAGTTTGATATATGAACAGAGAGAAGGGAACAATGCTAATACAACAAGCGGGTGGACATTTACAAAAACAAGTTGGAGTGGTGGAGCGTTTTCAGCCAGAAATATGAAATTTATGGAGCGGGAAAGGAGGGACGGAGGAAATATAGAGAAAATAAATAAATCACATTGATGGAGAAAAGTAAAAATGCAGACTATTGTTGTTATTTTAAAGAGTAAAATGTTTTTAATATATATTTTTAAAAGTAACAACAAGTAGTATTTTTATTGTAATATCACTATTTAAAAATCTTTTTATTTTTTTATTTAATTGAATTATATTTATTTATTCTGGATTCCGAATTCAGTTTAAATCTCTTCTAATCTACAGATTAGTTGAAGTTCAGTACACAGCTTTGATTCACAACAGATTCATTTTCTACACATACAAAAATACAACAAAAATGTTGTTTAATTATTTTTTTTCCAGGTTTGACAGATATTTTGGCCTATAACAGTGTGTGCATGTTTTTATTGTGATCAATTCAGTAACAATTTGTGTACATTTAGAAATATGAAAGCTAAAAGTAAAGCTGAAAAACTTTAAATTACTGCAGTCAGAGCAGATCATCTCAACGGGGGAACAACTACAGTAACACACACACTCACGTAAACATGAAGATAGAGATAAAGAGGCAACGTGCATTCAGTAGATTTGTTAGTAGTACGTGTGGAAGTGCAAATTGGAGGAGAGTTGAGTGAGGCCATAGCCACTCAGAAACAACCAATAGGATTGTAGGAGGTGGAAACCAATCAGAGTTGAGAACCACAGAGATTCAGATGGTTTAACCACATGTGATGTTTGACTTGATTTTGTCCCTTCTCAGTACAATGCATTTACTTTTCCCCCTAACAAAAACAAAAACACAATCTGGAAATACTTTAAAAACCTAAGCTTTGTTTTAAGCGTCCAGTTGAATATGCTCACACTGAATTCTGTAAATGCATCCACCAACAACTGACAATGCCTGCAGACCTGATTTAAAATAAAATATTGGCTACAACTTAAAGTGCTCCCTGCTCGACCACCACGAGAACCAGAGTCAAATCAAATTCTATCAGCACACACAATCTCACACACATAGTAGAGTGCAATGTAATCTGGCCCTAAAAAGAGACAGTATACTTTTCTGTACGTTAGCTCTTTAAACATTTTAGTTTCAATTCGTTGAAACCAAGAAAAAACACACAACGGAGCAGCCAAAAAAAAAAACATACAAAAACCCCCACTTACCTATAATCAAAGCTGACGACAATGACCCAAAGACACTGTTGGATGCCATGAAAGGATTACTCGTCAGATGTTTTTCAGACTCCACCTTTTTACATCTGAATAAGAAAAATCACAAATACAACAGAAAATGAAAGGTCAATTGGAGATCCTCCAACGAGCTGCGACATCAACTTTCATGGCCAATCTCTAAACCGCAAACCACATCTATGTGGGCGTGCAAGTATGTGAAAGGGAACATGTAACCCTCGCTGATCTACACCAGTTACAGGAAGTCTCGTTCACAACAACTCACTGCACTGCAATAGACAATCGACACGACAAAAATGATTATGTGAACACAGATGCTGAGTTAGTTCCATTCATTTATGGAGGGAGCTCTGTTTAAGGCCTTCTGAGCCTGGAGCAGCCAAACTAAGGGCTGGTCCAAGGTAAGCCTGAGCCAGACCTAACTACCCCCAGCTGGTTAACTGCCTCTTGCAGGTAAACTGGTACTGAACACTAGCGATGTTTAAATTAAATTACAGAGAATGATAACTAACATTTGGCGCTACAGTTAATAAGAACATTTTGAGTTTTGAATAGTAGGGTGTTTAATTGTATGCAAAATCAAGCTTGCAGATACAAAAAACATCTGTTGCCAAGTTAATGGATGTTGAACAAACAATATGTAATCTACAGTAACTGCATTTTTTTTAAACAAGAAACGATGAGCATGTCTGTTCTGCCTTCCTATGTTTCACGTGCACAGGCATGGAGGTCAGAAGAACGGAGTATCAAGCAAGCACTTTGGGTATATTCTCCTCAAGTGCAGCTATGTTTTAGTTTTGTGCAGAAATGATGACAAAGTGAGGTAGATGGAGCTGTGTTTCCTGCCAAGACGAAACTAAAACTGGAAACGTCTTTCGAGATGTGTAAAAACCCAACATGCATCAGCTCCATCCTGGTCAAATTTGAAGAAGTTTAAAAGTGATTTACATAGAAATGAACACAGATGATTTCCCCCTTAATGCTTATTTTTCTTCGAATGATAAAACTCTGAGATACAAACAGAAAGTCTTAAATAGTAGCGAGGCACTCTTACCCCAGCTGAGGTGTCCCGCTCCTGAGAAGAGGTGGTTGAAAAAGCTCCTTGGTTTTCCCAGTCGTCCACTCAGATGCAAAATAATCCACAAAACTCATTCTGTGTACCTTTCTCTACATGGCGTCTTCTCTGTCCGTGGACGTGTTTGCAGCTCGGCTTCCGCTCTTCCTCTCTGTCACCATCTTCCTCTCTCTCTCAGCGTTGAGTATGTGGTTCTCCAGATCCCCTTGTTGATGAGCTTTTTGACATTCAAAGTCGCCGAAGACTCTTTCTCTTCTATTAATCTGGCATTGTGGCTTTGTTGTGTGCTTGTGTGTGAGTGTGTAATCAAACTAACCACCTGCCCCCCTCAGCCAACAGTCCTCACAGAGGAAGTAGCTGTGGTTAGGGCAAGCGAAACGGAGGGAGAGGGCGTTGTAGTGTGTGTTTGTGAGTGCCCATATGTGCGTTTGTGGTCTGTGTGTTTGTAGCGGGGTTAGACAGAGGGAGTGAGTCACCTTTACTTCACCAAGCCTCACAGCAGGTCAGACTGTCAGACCACGGTGACCACTAGTGTGTGTGTGTGTGTGTGTGTGTGTGTGTGTGTGTGTGTGTGTGTGTGTGTGTGTGTGTGTGTGTGTGTGTGTGTGTGTGTGTGTGTGTGTGTGTGTGTGTGTGTGTGTGTGTGTGTGTGTGTGTGTACGAGCATGTTGAAGGTTAGTTAAGGAGAGAAGTGTATCCATTGCTGTTTTATGTTGCGTAGAACTGATCACTGTGTTGCTTTTAGTTGCTTTTAATACAGGATGCATGTGAGTAACAATACTTAAAGGGGAATTCCACTGACTTGACATGTTGCATAATGTATTCTGTGGCTCCAAGACAGTTGATAAAAAGAAACATCACAGAGAGCTGCTGTCATATTTATCACTTTAAAATGTACAAGCTATGAGTGCAGACACTTAACGGGGCCCTGTGAAGACTCCTCTGCACCTTGCTTCTGATAAAAGGCTGAGCTGCTGGTCAACACCTTCCTATGTAGATACGCCTGGTTAATTGGACTGTGCCATTAGGCTAAGGTTTAGCCTTTGCAGACCATTTACATGTACAGACACCTATATAACACACTAGAGGGAAGGGAACCCCCCAAAACATATAATAGGCCCACTTTAACCAGTAAAAATGGAAGTCAAATAGGGGTATACAGCTTCAGGAGTCTTAAGTCTGAAAAAAAAACCTGTTAAATACATTTTAATTGTAATGTATATGTGTGTGGTCAAACACCTGCTGGTTAACTATATGTAATCAGCCTTTTGAGACACGCACACGCACACACAAACACATGCAACTTGACCCTCAAATATACGCCTCCTTACACCCCAACACCTGCACTGACACACTTCTACCCCTCCCTAACTGCAACAAAGCCACCTCACCCAACCCGCTCACACACACACTAACCGTAACCCACACCTATATGGGTTTCTCACACGCATCTGAAGAAGAGCCAATACACTTCCTGTTTAGTGCTAAGCTCAGCTGAAAGCAAAAACACATTATGTTAAATATTTGTTTGTTACTGATGCACAGTGTCTAGAAAAAAGCTTACGTTTCTCAGGACGGAGGGTAGTTGAGGACTGGGTTGGGAATCAGGTCGGTGGATGTCCTACTGTCTGTCCTGGGAGAGCTCAGTGGGAGGCAGCTCACCCGATGACCCCTGACCCCTCCCAGACACAACATGACCTCCAGCTGCAGCTTCCTGGGTCACACCGGGGTCAGACACCGCCACGGGGGGCAAAATCTGAAGAGAGAGAGAACATAGCAATATTCTCAACAGTTACAGTAACTAACTGTGGATTGAGGGGTAAATCCTAAAACCCGGAAATGAGTCAGCATTTTACCACTTCCTGTCCCATGTCAACGGTTTTTTGTCAGAAGCCTGAAATGTGTATGTGGTTAACACTAGCTTAGGAGATTTTCACGATTTGTTCTATGACATCATTTTATGACGTGTTCATATTTAACTTTTTTTACAGTTCATTTAGCTCTCAAAATGCTGTAAAATAAATCCCTGAGGTTGGTCCCCAGAAGAAGCAGTGATGAAAGAAAGAGTAGTATCTGCTCTCTCGTCCTACTCTTCAACTTTTTTCATCCCTTCTCTTCCAGCTCTTTCCCTGACCGTCCTCCTCCCCTTCTACAGTACACCCCACGGAGCTCCCACGACATCAAACCCCACCAAGTGAGACCCTGCTTACGTGTGTGTGTGTGTGTGTGTGTGTGTGTGTGTGTGTGTGTGTGTGTGTGTGTGTTTGTGTGTGTGTGGGCACGTCGCTGTGTGTGTTCTTACCAGCTGCTAAAATACAACAGTTCAAGTGGCCTTTGAATCAAACAACAAACAGAAACAGACACACTGGATGCTGTCCAATGGCTGACTGAATTACCCACAAGGCCTCACTTTGTGACATACTGTCCTCTAGAATCTTACGCTGTCACTTATTAGTGAATTCAGAAAAACACATCCCTTTTCTTTTATGCAGCCTTTAAAGCCAGGAAGATACATGACTTGTGCTATCCTTTTTAGCCCTAAGATGAA